GAGTAATGGTTAAGTAATATTACTGTTATAAAAGAGTAATGGTTAAGTAATATTACTGTTATAAAAGAGTAATGGTTAAGTAATATTACTGTTATAAAAGAGTAATGGTTAAGTAATATTACTGTTATAAAAGAGTAATGGTTAAGTAATATTACTGTTATAAGAGAGTAATGGTTAAGTAATATTGCTGTTATGAGCGTGTAATAGTTAAGTGATATTATTGTTATTACTGTTAATTTGATAAAACAATATTCACAGAGCGTTTATTTACTGGTTATTAATTAACATTAATTAATTAATTCATTCATCCATTTTGAATTCATTTCTTCATTTTTTTTCCGATTGTTTATTTAAGCACTGAGACAATAATTTGATGAAATACTATGCAATTAATGTTAATACTGTGATAAAAATGCTTCGAATATGAATTAAATACTTGTGAGAAAAAAAAAAATTAAAAGTCAATCAATATTTTCCAATATATCCCAATGTATATACCATAGATTCATATTCGAAGATGACCTTTTTTTTTTCTTTTAAATTAAATAAAAAATTTCACTTTAAATATTTGAATTGTAATATTTTTGTTTCATTTTTATTCAATCGAACAAATATGCATCGTATTGTATTTTCAAGTCTTTGTTAATCAAAAAAAAAAAAAAAAAAAAAAGACTCAGGAAATAGTAAATATATTTAAAAGTTAAATTTGCTAATTATTAGCCAAATTAATTAATAATTTTATTCGAACAAATAATGTACCTATGTTAAAGTATAATATTAACAATAACATTTATAGTAACCCAAATGAGGAAAGGTTAATTGAAATAATTTATAGTAATGGATTAAGATTTAGCTATTCAAATTTGATTACATAGATAGGAAAGGGTTTGATCCATTTATTTGATCCGTTTAATAAATGGTTTGACCTATTTATATAAATGGTTTGATCTTAGTAATAGTTTGATCCATTTATGTAAATTTTTTTTTTTTGATCCATTTTATTGTATTTATTGTAATTAACTGAAATTTTTACCGCCCAATTTAAAGTAAGGGAGAGTTAATTGCTGAAATTTACCTTTCAAAATTTGGCTATACAGGTAAGGAAGAATTGATCGGAAATTCATTTCTGTCAAATTATATTTTGTATTTTAAATTACTTTGAAATTTGTTTTGTTAAATTTATGCAAATTGAGATAAAGTTAAATTTTATGAAAGATAAATTTAATAAAGGTTGAAATAAAATAGCTTGGAAGTTTATTGAACTTTTGCTTTCAGTGTATATCATGTTGATAAATTAAATGGCGCAAAAGTCCAGATTTTCTCATTTTTCCTTTTTTTTTTATTTCTGCAATTGTATCAACATGCAATACTGATCGATTTTATCGATTTTTTCTGAGGTAGAAATCAAAAAAAAAGCAATTATTTTCAAACAATTAATTCAATGTATATTATTATGACAGTACAAATGGTTTACCTTTGTGATTTA